TAGATCATTCATCTGGATTGTTTGTAAGAGAGTGGAATAAAGTGGGCATGTGTGGATTTCATTTATTTATTATTTATCTTTAGTTTAAATTCAAGTTAGTTAACAGATAGTGTATTATTAGTTTCAGGGGTAGAATTTAGTGATTCATCAGTTGCATATAATACCCAGTGCTCATTATACCAAGTGCCTTCTTTAATGCCCATCACCCAATTACCCCATCCCCTGACCCACCTCCCCTCCAGCAACCCTGTTTGTTCCCCAAAGTCAAGAGTCTCTTATGCTTTGCCTCTCTCTCTGTTTTTATATTATTTTATTTTTCCTTCCCCTTCTTCTATGTTCATCAGTTTTGTTTCTTAAATTCCACATCTGAGTGAAATCATATGGTATTTGTCTTTCTCTGACTGACTTACTTGTTTGGCATAATACACTCTAGTTCCATTCATGTCATATTTATCCAAAGGATACAAAAATAGTGATTCAAAGGGGCACATGCACTCCAATGTTAATAGCAGCCATGTTCACAATAGCCAAAATATGGAAAGATCCCAGATGTCCATTGATGGATAAATGGATAAAGAAGATGTGGTATATATTTATACAATGGACTATTACTCAGCCACCAAAAAGAATGAAACCTTCCCATTTGCAACAATGGGGATTTCACTTAGATCTTAGGTAATAAGTTTTGAGGCATATTTTGAACTCTTCAGTATCTATGAACTTCTTAACTCTGGTTGTGATGAGGATCCCCAGTTCAGGTCTTTGGGACTGGGTTCAGGGCATGTGTATTTTTAAAAAGCCCAACAGGTGATTGTGATGTGCAGGCTGGGTCAAGAACCCCCGCCATCTATCCTACACAAAAACTGAAACTGAGGTTTTCTAATATTTAACCTAGTTGGGAGCTGGACAGGAACAGAGAAGTACCCGAAAGTGATGAATCTGGTCTTGGGAGTTGGGATATAAATTCAGCCCATCCAAATATGAGCTCTGATGATGCTAGACTGTAAGCCCTGGAGGTAAGGAGCCACATCTGTCTTTTGCATCTGGATATTTCTGGACTGACCTTGAACAAAATACTTAAGCTAAGCCCCCTGTGTTCTTATCTGGGTATTAATTTAGAGAGCTTATAATTTATGGGTAATAGGGGCTCAACAAGTAGTTACTGTTCTTTGTGCATGAGCATGTGTGTGTGTGTATTATGCATCCTCAAAGTGACCCCTTGTTGGAGGAAGTCATTGAGAGGATGTGATTGCTGATTGACCCTTGAGCTCAATCTAGGCTCTTGGAGGGTCCTTACCCCCTCTCCTGTCTCTGGAATGTAAGTTTTGCCCACCATTCCCATATGTGGAATTTAAGAAACAAAACAAAAGGGCACAGCCTTGAGATAGTAATGTGTTGTGGAGACCCTCTGTAGAGTATAAGTGACTGAACCCAGTTAAGACCTCTCTATAAACTACTAAGATTCTGGCAGGCAGGTGCAGACATCTACTCATCTTGTGCCACCCATGACAAGCCTTGGAAATAAGTTCACTTCGTTATTAAATCTGCCACCTACCAGTCTGGAGTGGCCCGCCTCTTTCTTTAGTCTCTCCTTGCCCTCTGTGTATGAGGCCCAGTTTCAGATTTCACCCGGGAGCCACCTGGGGTTGTTAATCAGTTTTTTTAGTTTTCTTTTTCTAGTTCTTTTATTCATGCTCTTCTCCCACTCAAATTCTCTATTTCAGCCAAACTGATTTATTTACTAATCCCTGAACTTATCCTGTGTGTTTCCACCTCTCACTTAGCACTTCTCTATATACATCTATATCTCTACAAAGTTTCCCCTGACTCACGCAGTGTGAAGTGATCACTCTTTAAAAAAAATTCTCATGGTTGCATTAATTGCAACCATGAGAATTTTTTTACTTAAATTTTTTAACTTACATGTGCTACTTATGTCTTTTTTTTCTATTATTAGACTGAACTGTCAAGGCTTTTATTGTTGTATAAATCTCCTTGCTTTTACAAATATAGCTCCTCAGCTAGACTGCATTTAAACAAGCAGTGGACCTTGAAGGCAGGGGCAGTATTAAGTTATATCTCATACAGCAAGTGTTCGATGAAGATGAGTTGATTTGGAAAAATTTTGTTTGACTCCATTTTCTCTGATTCCTTCATTTTCTTTTAACTGGTTTTTGATCAAGGCTTCTTGTTGAAACGCTTAGACATAATGCATCGCTGGCCTCAGACTAGAAGAGAATTTGAGCACATAGAATGTTTAGGGAACAAATTAAGTTTGGGGGATCCCAGGAGTCTAAGAAGTAGGAGACATTCCCCTCTTCTTTGTTTGCCTATCTGGTGAATTCCCACTTTCTCATGAAGCCTCACTTCCATCCTCCCTACCTTCCTGGAACCTACCCAAGGATAGTGAGTTTTTCCTCCAGCTGAACTCATAGGACTTCTATTATGGAACATTGCTTTGTATCCTTTTGTTTCTTAACCTACTTCTCCCATGGGCCTGTGAGGTTCCAAGGACTTAAATTTTGGCTTAGTCCTCTTGGTATCATTGGCAGTAAGCACAACACTTTACCCATAGAAAGAACTTGTTAACTATTGAATCTGTAATAACACAGGGACTCATATTCAAGTTGTAGAAACAGGATATGGCAAAAGACTATAGCTATAAAATGGAAAAGCATGTATTAACTTTCCAGTGAGTGATACAAACAATGAGCTGCCTGGATTTGGAAAGAATGTTTGAGGAAACTTAAGGAAGATACCTTGGACAAGATAGAATGTGAAAGAGGGGTTAGTCTTGGCTCTGTGTAGAAGACCGAGGAGCTCATCTTCAGCACAGGAAATGGGCTAAGCTAAGGAACATGGGCAGTGCATCAGTAAGGGTCTTGGGGTGTACACAGCAGAACCAACGCTAGCTAATTTCAGTCAAAAGATAATTTACAAAAGGATTCTGAGAGCTCACGTAATCTCTGCACCAGAGAGCAATACTGAAGTGTATTGCCGAAATGCATACCCCAATATTAAGGAGTCTGGAAATGTGACTTTTCTGGCCTTTACCTTGGAAAGGTGGGACAAAATAATGAGTGAAGTGATCAGGACGTTGGGTGGTATTAAACTGTGTTAGGTTGACATAAATGATTTTTGTGCCTGGGCATGTTTGGGTGACAGAGACTAAATCAGGCAACCTAAAGCAAAGGCCTCTAGAAGAGTAAAGTTGGAAAGATGAGTGACAGCCAGATCTGGGAGATCCTTGAATAGTGCAGCAAAGATGTGAACTTTTCTGTGTGAAAGGGGAACCATGGACGATATTTGAGTGTATGTGTGTGGGGGCGGGGGGTGAGAAAAATTCTGGAAAATGTCACATTTTGGCATTTCTTGAAGGCTTGGTGATTTAGTCACAGGAGAGCATGCACATGAAGAAAGAGGATCTGGGGCCTGGCACTAAAGCCCCTTCTGGGGAAGATTGGCTTTGGAGAGATGGGGGTTAGCTCGGACGACAGTGAAGGTTCAGGACATGATGGGGTGGGATGTGAGGGCCATCTAGCTGTGACAGCAGTCACCTCACTGACTGCCACGTTTGATCTGGCTGATCTGGTTGGCTAGATAGTGTTTCTTTCCTCCCCCTTCCTGCATATTCATGTACATCCCCTTCCCCTGAAGCTGTGAGATCAGTCAGAGAAAACCTTCCCCGATACAGAAGGTATATTCTTTGGTCAAGGGCATGTGAGTGAGTTTGTGTGTTCCTGTACTAGGGTACTAAGAGACTCCTCTACTCTCCAGCTCTCAAGAAGTATTGGGGTGACTCAATGAGTTGTAGGACACAGTAAGAGGCTGTCCCTTCCTCCTTTGTAACTCCCTCCTGTTCTTGGTGCTGCTAGAACAGTTTCCCCAAATCATAAATTCCATCAAGCCCAGAATTCTTAGGTGGTTCCTTATTCTCTGTAGCAATGTCTCCCAAAGTATGGGGGCAAAAATTCCTGGTGAAATGCAAGATGATTTAGGTGGTAGGTAAGCATGACATTAAATAATCTTACATTACATAGTGAGAAATGCATTCCTTTTTTTTTTTTTTTAAGATTTTATTTATTTATTTGACAGAGAGATACACAGCAAGAGAGGGAACACAAGCAGGGGTACCGGTAGAGGGAGAAGCAGGTTTCCCGCCAAGCGGGGAGCCCGATGTGGGGCTCGATCCCAGGACCCTGGGATCATGATCTGAGCCGAAGGCAGACGCTTAACGACTGAGCCACCCAGGCGCCCCAAATGTATTCCTTTTAAAATTCCCTTTCAGTCCTTCTACTTTTGACAATGAGGAAGTATAAGACTGGTGTATCCAATATTTCCTAATCCATTTTTGATAAGGAGAACAGGCCTCAAGTCAAGGTTCCAAATGCAAGCATATGATGCCGCAATTTTAATATTATTTTCTTCTAAAAATTGATGGCAGATGATTTCAGTTTTTTCCCTAGGGCAGTGGGGTCAAATTTTAATGTCCTACACATCAGATGATAGTGAGGATATTTAACTTCCTTGGGTGTGATGATGTTATTGCAGTTATGTTTTACAAAGTCGGATATACATGAAATGATACCGTACCTGTGATCCGCTTATCACAGACGAGGTAATTCAGCGATGTGTGGCTGGCGGAGGTGGTGTGGTAGGGGGCGTATAGAGGAAACAAAATTCGACATCGCTTGATATTTGCTGTGCTAGGTACAAGTAGGTTTATTTTACTATTGTCTCCACTTTTGTGTACATTTGAAAATTTCCATGATAAAATTGTAAAAGTGAAAAGAAAATTTTAATGTTAAATAAGTAGATTAATACAGAAAAATTAATTTACAGAAAAAGCAAACAATATGGGTGGTATGTAGATAAGGCATTAGTCAAATTACTGAAGTCTACAAAATGCTGGCCTCCTGGGAAAAGTTCAGGCCTCTCCTTGGGGGATGGAAGGTTCTTCCCGTCAGAGCCCTTTCTTACCTCCTGTTCTCGCCAATCAGGATGCAGCCATGTCAGATCACCAGGAGTTTCCGCCGCTGTGCTGTGCTCTCACGCATCTATGTCTTGGTGCAGACTGTTCCATTTCTCAGAACGCCTTCCAAACAAGTTTGCTTGGATAATTCCTGCTCATGGTTTAACTCTCAGCCCGAACAATGGAAATGAAAAGAAAGGACCGTTCCCAAGAGGCCCTGGAAGGGGAGTTGAAGTCACTTGGGGAGAGCTGTGACCTGATACCAGGATAAGAAGGAGCCACAGCTAACTCCAAGGTTTCAATGGTGGGATGATTCAATGGTGGAATGATTCAGTCATGGCGGCAGTGGCTAGGGAGGCTGTCAGGGTGATGGGGTAGTTCTCGGATGGTCATTGGGAAATGAGGTGTTAGGCATGTTTGAATTTAGGGGGTCCTCCTTGACTCCAGGATGTCAAGAGCAACAGAAACTGGGCAGGGGCCATTTCTCTCCAACCAGCTCTTGGGTATTCCAGAGCTAATTACACGGCCGAAGTATTGTAGTCTTTGTGCTCCCCTCCTGCTTTCCTGTCATAGTTGGACTATTATTCTGTAAGAAGGGAGAGGGTGTGAAATGCAAATCAGTCATTTGCTGCTTTTTAGGGGTGTTGAGAAAGACGTGGAAGAAACTATTGGTTTGTGTAAACATTTCCATTATTACTGAATTTTCATGCTATTCCCCATCCATTTCGTTATCTGCCTCTAGACTGATGAGAGGTAGCTGGCTTGTGAACTGCAGGGGCTGACTGGAGACAGCCGACGAGACTTACCTGGACTTTGTGGCTGTTTAAATGACTGGATCTTTGACGAGGAACAACCACCTGATGGCAGATTCTGAGGGAGACGGGGCGGGTCACCCCACGGGCGTGGTGAATAACACTGCTTCTGTTTTCAAGTTGCTGCAGCGAAGAGCGGCTTTTGAATGGGTCTGTGAACGCTTCAGCCGTTCTGTTCTGGTGTTTGAAGGGCAGCTCACTGTACTGACATGCTGGACAAGAAGGATTTGATCTAATTTTAGTTGCAGTAAATATGATGTTGCTCTTCCATTGTACTTGGACTTTCCTTTAACAGCACGATGGCTTAATTATGCCACTCTCTGTTCCAGCACCCCTCCCCAGCCGCCCCTTCATCAGTAGCAGAGACCAGGGATCAGCCCTACTGAGACGTTTTTTGCAATTGTCCTCATTTTACTTTGTAGGCAAGAAGCATGTTTTTCTGTCTATTTAAACTGAGAAATACACGATTACCACTTCGGGCCTCCTTGTGAGCTCAGGGTTTGACACAATTTGCACTCTATAATTTCTGACGTTTTTGTGGCTCACTGTTAGGGCTGACACAAAGCAGAGGGAATGAGTCTGTAGAGGAAAAGAGAGAGAGAAAACGTGGGTACACCAATGTGCTGCCATTACTCAGCGAAGTGCACGATTCTCGCACTAGTTCATTTTGTTTGAAACAGGATTTTACTTTTCAGGAGCCACTTACTCTTAATTTTTACCCACTCAGTCCTTTTGGTGTTGTCCTTCTGTACTCTGAAGTTGGAAGATATCATGGCCGGTGACTTGCACTCTGGTAAAATGTTTCCTACGATGCCTGCTTGCTCTTGTCTTAGATGAATTTTGGAGTCTGCTTCTGATGTTATTTTAACGTATAAACTTTTAACGACGTGTGTTCTTTCTTTTATGTTTCACTTAAGTCAGCACATGATTTTGTAAATGGATTCAGGTTTAACATATGAAAATAACAAAAAGATTTTTAGAGTAAAATTAAACACGTTTTCAAATTGATGCTGTTGCTTGGTCTGTGTTCTTGTTTAATGTGCATTTTTATTGTTCGATGTGAAGCCAGTGTTCATAAAGGTGATTTGTGAATATATGAAAAAATAATAAGAGATGCCTCAGAGTTCTGCCTACAATCTCCATGGTATACTTAAATACACTCAACAGCCACCCCAAGGAGCAAATTTAGCATTTATCCAAGTTGGAAAGCCAACGAGAGGTTAGCTGTGGGCATGGCTGGAGTCTGTCTGTATTTAAATATTCATTTAACATGGGTTGTTGCCCCATTATATCCCCCTGGTGGTGTGGCCAGATTTGTGCCTGTCAGTTGAAGAGAACATTTGTCAGTTTTTGGTGTGTATGAGAATCGACTTAGGGGAGCTTTTTCACAGTATAGATCTCCCAGGTCTTAAACCCCAGCGCTACCGAGTCCGTTCTTCTGGGACGCAGCGCAGGCATCTGTGTTTTGATTCATCAGAGTCACCTGGGGAGGTTTCACCACACACAGATGCCTGGGCTCCGTCCCAGAACACTGACTCAGCTCCTCCGGAGGCGCAAGGCCTGGGAAATCTGGACTAATGTGCACAAAAGAATGAGAAAGCCAGGCTTGCTTAGCAGGGATGGTCCCCGACAAACACCATTTAATATCCCAGAACATGCAGAGCTAGGGGTAGGGTTGAGGTAAACTCATGAAAGATCATGAGAGAGGATGAGAATTCTGTCTGTCCCCAGTCGTGTGGCCCTGAGATTGACTGCTGCCGCCGCTGGGGACCAGGTGGCTCTGAGCTTTTATGGCTATTATTTCTTTTTTTAAATTTTTTTTTATTTTTTATTTTTTTAAATATTTTTTTTTTAAAGATTTTATTTATTTGACAGAGAGAGACACAGCGAAAGAGGGAACACAAGCAGGGGGAGTGGGAGAGAGAAAGCAGGCTTCCCAAGGAGCGGGGAGCCCGATGCGGGGCTCGATCCTAGGACCCTGGGATCATGACCTGAGCCGAAGGCAGACGCTTAACGACTGAGCCACCCAGGTGCCCCGATGGCTATTATTTCTTCCATGAGCTCTAAGTAAGGAAATGTCCTGTTTATACTTCTTTACGCATCTGTGTTTTTTTCCTGCATAATTAAAATCGTTCAATGGATGCTTTTCTCATGTTCTCAAAATGTTTATCATTAACTAAATGAACAAATCCTCCAACAATGATGAGGACTTACAATCAAAATACACTAGGTGTGTCTTGGTGCTGCTGACAGAAGCCAGCATCTGGTATATTTCATGATATTTTCTGAAGGGCAAATTTGCTATGAAATGTGAAATTTCCTTATTAGTGCAACTTTATAGATTAATTTCAGTTTCAGTATGCTACTTTCAATGGCCATAACAGTTTGTTTATTGCTCTCAGAGATGCAGGTAGAATTCGAGTTCCCTTTTCCCTCATTCCATGTAAAGAACCGGACCATGTAGAAATTAGAGTTGGTAAAAGCTTTGGGATAGAATCAGGACTTGAGGTCTAGTATCTTCTCTTTCCGTGTATTAGTTTTGTGACCTTGGACAAGCCCCTCGAAGTCTCTGGGTCTCCTTTTCCTCATGTATAAAATGATAACAATTTGTCTGCAAGCAGAAGACGAGACGGGTTAAACTCCTAAGCCCATTCCAGCTACAAGTTCCTGTACCAGGTCTGCAGGGGAGGGAGGAGTGATGAAGGCAAGGTCAAGTCAAGCAGGGTGGGCTGGGAGGGAGTGGGCTTCAGAGCTCAGGAAGGCTGCACGTCCCTCCTAGTGCTATCCTTCAAAACACTGGCCACCTCTCCAGTCTTGTCCCTGGTTGCTATGGTTTTCCACATCTCCTGGTTTATAAGGTTCATGGATTTACTAAATAATGTGTGATAAAGCCTCAGTGGGACTCCAGAGTCATTTGTGAGGGATTAAAGACAATTTTACCGAGTTGTTTGCTGGCTTGGAGAGTTGCAGTGCTAAAAAACATGTACTTGTTAGGACACGGATATACATCTATGATGAGGAAGAGTTTTAATGAAACATTCATGACTATTTCCTGCATTTCTCTGGAAAAATAAATTCAATCACAGTAGGGTTTTTTGTTTTCCCCCACTCGATTGCTTATTAGAATGCATTCTTTGCCTGGTTGGTATAAAGGTAATCTTCTATTTTGCAAAGATGCTTTTGGACCCACAAATATACTCTGGTCTCTTGAGAAGAAAAAAGCTTCCAAATTTTCACTCTGTAAATTACTGAAGTAAAGGGAAATGATACATTGTAATAGACCCACTTGCTGCTTGAGAATTCCACAGAAAACAGTCAGGCTAGATGAATTATTTACCGTGGTGGTTTGTGAAGCAGAGACTGCGTGTCTCCTACTAGCTGTCTGCACTAGATGGTTTCAGTTTGCCCGCCCCCTGCCCCCCCAGCTCCACGGTCTGACCTTTGGCCTTCCTCTGCGACCTGGGAGGCTGAGCTCTATGACTGTATCTACCAGTATCTTCGCCTGCTTGGGCTGCTGTCACACAATACCATAGATCTTTATTTCTCACAGTTCTGGAGGGTGGGAAGCCCCAGATCAGGGTGCTAGCTGATTCTGTGTCTGGCGAGGGTTCTTCCTGGCTTGCAGAAGGCTGCTTTCTTGCTATCTCTTCACATGGTAGAGAGACAGTGTGGGTTCTGGTCTCTTCCTCTTCCTATAAGGACACTAATATCAGCATGGGGGTTCCATCCTCATGACTTCATATAAACCAGTACCTCCTGATACCATCTCACTGAAGTTAGGGCTTCAACATGTAGATTTGGGGGGAAGGGGCACATTCAGTCCATAGTAACCCGGGTCCCTAGTCCTGCTCTCTGGAAGTGAGCTGTGCTCATGTAATGGAAGATACTGGTAGGAAGGCTGGAGAGACTTGGCTCCCACCTGTGAGCCTGCATCTACCCTTGGGCATCCCCTACTCTCTCTAGCAATGGTCCTGTTCCCTCCCCCTCTCCTGTAGGCCTCAGGTGGTGGCAGCTCCTTCAGGCTGTCCTCCTGCCCTCCGGCCAGTCTTGACTCCATCCCACTCTTTTTACACAACTACTTATTAAATGCTGGTCAACTCCCTATTCTAGACCACAGTCCAGTTCCTGCTGGGATTCTGACTGATCCCCTGTCTCAAGAGTTCATTACAGAAGGTCACTTAAGAACCTCCTTGCAACATCAGGACTCTGTTCATTGCACTCAGTGCTATTATAATATTCATTTCTGGATTTACTCAGGGGAAACAGCTCCTGGAGTGATTTGGCAGAGAGGCCACAAATTTCCTTGACTCCAAAATACATCTTCTTTAATTTTCGCGTTTTAAAAATAATAGTCATTGCATGGTGGGGGGCGGTGGTGACAAGATGCACATTTTGTATTTTCTGGTGGGATGATAAATTGCTATAAGCTTGATGGAAAGAAATTTGGCAGTTTCTAGTAAGAGCCTTCAAAATATTTAACTTGTTGACCCAATAATGCTACTGCTAGCAATCCATCCAAAGGAAGTAATTGGAACTGGAATGATATGTGCGTAAATAACCCCCTGGTATTTTTATTTATATTAATTCATGAAAATACAAATAACTAAGCGTTGAACAGTGTGGAAATGATTTCACAAATTAAAGTACCTTTATATAGAATACCACACAGTCATTAAGTTTATAAAGAATGTTATATAATGTGATAAAAAAAATCACATTACAGAATTTTATACACAAGATGAACTCAACTGTTTCATTCTGTTTATATGTATGTGTATATATACATATATATGTCTATATCTATGTATATCTATAGAGAAGAAGTCAGAAAGAAAAACTGCACACTGAAAAAATTCTTCAGTAATTATCCTTTGGCAGAGAGATTATGGATGACTTTGATTTTTCTTCTTGTTATTTTCTATATTCTACAAATATACATTCCTTTAAATTAAATATTAGTTTTCTATATTAGTTTTCTACATTACTATAAATGAGAAAGCTTTTTTTTTTTTTTTAACCTGACACCATCAGAAAACCAATGGATATTTTTAAAGAGTGGCACAATCACGATGCTATCAGTACCCTTCTTTGGTAACAAAACTAAGGAGCTGAGAGATGGAGTCCCATCTCAGGAGCAGTGGCAGGGCTCTAAGTCTGCTGATGTTGTATTCACATTCTGGAAGGGTACATCTTGGGTGGCTGCCTTTCCTAACCTTCTTTCTCTTCTTGCCAGATGGACCTGGTTATATATTGCATTTTCCTGCTTATTTTTAAAGAGGGAAATTTGGTCTGTCCTCACATCTACCTAATGTGTTGGTTTTATTTCTGCATCTCTTTTAGAAATCTTTTTTTTCTCCATCTTTTTTTTTCTTGCAAGCATGAGTTTTTAAAATACTCTTTGAGACCAGGCTATGGGAAATTGATTTCACTGCTCATTTTTCCTCCAACTTAGGTAAAACCTGATCCGATCTTTTAGTTGTCTGTGTCCTTTAGGCTTTCAAACATGGAGTTACAGAGATGGATTTATAGGACGCAGGGCCATCCGTATAGTTTACACACAGCTTGTGTGTCTAGGGGTCTCCTGGTAGGTTGAAGATATCTCAGGTGGGGTGGGGAGGGTAATGCATTGGGCAGTTTTAGCAGTCAGTCCCTTAGTAGATTAGTCTGTCAGGTAATTAGCTGTTACTTTGGAAAGTAGAATACAGGGTCCAGAAGGAATGAGACACAGTTGAAGCTGAAATGGAAAAGGACAGGATGCTTGGGATAGTACCCCAAGCCTTACTTGAACATGAGGTTCCAGCCCAGGAAGGGAGATCTGGAGAAGAAGCACTTGGAAAGGGGAGGGGTAAGATGTTGAAGACAGATTCTGTCTATTTTTGATACTGCTTGGAACCAGAAATCGTGACCAGTGAGCTACTAGAATTGAGTGCTGGCTGGTTCA